AATGTAATTAATAACAATAACAGTACTAATAAATAAATAAATAAATAATAAAGTCATGAACGATAACTTATATAAGGACAAAAGTTTGAAAAATTTTGGTATAAAGAGGATAGAATGTAAATTAAATTAAGCGGGAAATGCTATCTGAACTAATTAACGATTTACGTAGCTAATTTTCTCGAAATTATGCAAAATACAACAATCAGTTTTTGAGAATAAAATTAATTGCAATACTTTTACTGAAAATTTTTCATGCAATGCAACTTTCTATTGTTATTATACTATTTGAGCATTTGAATTGCTTTATTTTGTTCACTTTTGATTATAAACAAAATGATAAAAGATTTCACTGCTAACAAAGTTGAAGGAATTTATCAAATTTACACATCGAAATTAAATTAAAAAACAAAAAACGACCACAATTATAGCAATTATAATTTAATAATCAAATCAAAGGATTCGAATTTTTTTAAAATTTGATATTTAATTGTTTGATAATAATTTGATTATTTCAGACCAAAGCTAAAAGCAATAATTTTTCAGCAAACATAAGATTTGTAGATTAACTCTCCCATCCTTGTAAAATTCAAATAAGTATTAGTGGAAAACAAAATAATAAAGAACTGAAAGATAAGATTCAAGAGCTCATCGATAATTTGATTATCAATTACATAAGCTATGAAAATAAATACGAATTACTAAATGCAACTGAGCGGTCAAAACTTTACAAGTGTAAAAATTTTAATAAAATTTATAAAATATTTTAAGTTATTTAAAAGTTTTTAATAGAATTTTATTTTTGTTTCCAATTAAAATTTCACATAATATATAATTTATTACTGAAAAATAATGAAAAATCTTCAAGTATTCTGGCCTTTATCTAACATTAAGACTATATCGAGAATAAAGTAATGATATCAAAAAATAGCATTAGATCAAAAACTATTTGAAAGTATTTATCTACATAATACTCTATTACTACAATACTATAATAACTAATATTGTCGTTATTTTATGCGTTTTTTAATTTTAAATATCAATTGATAGAACTATTAAAAATATTTATAGTAAAAAAACTAGTGCTAGTTTAGTTAAATGCATGTTTACATTTACAAAATTTTTTGAAAAAACAGGCCTAGGAATGAAAAATATAATTATTTTTTAAATACTTCTAAAATGATATGATACATTTTAAGAGACAAAATACAATTCAAAATGTTTAAGATATGAAATAGAAAATTGTCTAGTATACGTTTATATGAACTTTGAACTATTTACAGTACATATGACTTAAGTATTTATATAGATGGAATAGTCAAAAAATAAAATTTCTAAAAAGCACAATAATTAATTAAAACAACAATTTGTGCTGTAAATTTTAGACTGACTTCATCCAGGGTTTGTCGTGAAGTAATACTTTGTTGGACTATTTTCAATTTAAATTACTCAGTAAAATCAAACATTAACAGCTCATGCAGTTTAAAGTTATACAATAAAATTTACTGAGAATATTGCTCAAAGTTAAATTTTAATTCCAACTTGTTTAAATTAACTCAAAAACATCAGATTAAATTTTGACGCTACGTCAACCTATGCGTGAGTAAATGACACTAACAAATTATTACAATAAAATCAAGTATATTTAATGTGACAATTTACTTTTTCTATTCATAAGTTTACTTACTGAGTTAAAGTTAGTAAGTTTTTACTTACTACTTAAGCAATGACAAAAAAATAAGACAACATACATCGTCATCTTGGTCGGAGAAAAGTGAATTGCTAAGTGCTTCCACCAATGAAGACCTCTTACGAATATATCTATTTGCATTACTCTAAAATAATCATTATTTTAACACGTTTTCAACTTAATTATGAATTGAATTGGTTAAATTGCTCAAAATATTTATGCAAAATTGAAAGAAGTAATGCGTGCTAGTTAAATGCATGTTTACATTAGAAATGTAGAAAAAAAGTTATTACAAATAAAATTAATATTATTCAATTTTATGGATGCTAAACAATTATAAACAGAGCAATGAATCATGCCCAAAATAGGAAGATTTTTGAACAACTGAGAATAAATTTGATAAAAAATTTAATTAAGTATAATACAACGAAGGATTAATTCATTGTGCATTAAGGTTATCTAAATGACCCTTTGCGAATTTGATGAAGTTAACATGTAGTGTAAATTTTGCTGATTTACGGCAACGGCGATTACTGGATCGTAGAAATGAATTGTTGGAATGAAACGAGTAGAAAACCTTTTAATTTCCTGTAAATTTTACCGTGTAGTAACTAAAAAGTTGTTTAAATAGTAAAAACGTGAGAATATTTTGGGCAGATATATTTTATAACTATATATTGCAATTGTAAAACGATAATTACTTACTCAGCTAAAATAAATAAATAAATAATTTTTAATGCAAAAAAATGAAATTTGATACTTTGAAATAGTCAAAATTTAATTACAAGCATTTGAAGTAGTAGTTTTTACTTGATAAACATCTTAGTTACTTGATCGTACAAAATTTGAAAAAATATTTAGTCATTAATAGCTATTTTTTGGTCTCACAACATTGTAATTATCACACAAAATTGCAAATATTTCAAAAAATAGTAAATATAAATTCAGGAATTATTTTTTTAAACTTCATAAAGATAATAAGAAAATGACCTCATTATATGGTCATATATTTATTTCTACAATTAAATAATCTCTTTATAAATTATATGGTTCTGAATAATCCCTAATCTCTTTGTTGTGTAAAGATGTGGATATATATGAAATTTTGACTTTTTGAAAATATTTGTAACCTTTATTTTACACAACATTATTGTTTGTCATTTCAAGCGAAATGTAATCACATAACATCATGAGTAGTTGAAGAATAGCAGAACAAGTTATTTTTAAGTAATTAAGACAAAAACAATTTAGAAATACGTATAAGATTTAAATAATAAATGATAAATTATAAAATTTGTATAAGATTTAAATAATTTAAATGATAAATTTTATTAATTACAACTTGAGCAAATAATATTTTATTTTAATCCAATGAAATGAATATATGCAAATAAAATTGTGTTCAAAATTAAATCAGTCTAATAAGCTATCTTTTAATTAGTGATTCTTAATTATAATTAATGCATAAAATTTAGGCTAATATTAAAATCAGTTAAAAAATGTTGACTGATTCAAGCATAACAAGAGTTAAGTAAATAATAGACGTAAAAGTGGCGTAAAAAGTTAAATCTTATCAAACCACTGAATGGCTTGACAAGGTCATAAGAAAATGACCTCATCATATGGTCATACATTTATTTCCACTATTAAATAAACCGTTATATTTCGCCTCCCATTCCATCATAAATTCCTTCCTTTACAACTTTTACATTTGTTGTACTTACCTATTAACCCAAATCTATGATCAAACACAACAATTTAGTACTTTTGCTACAAACAATATGATTTCTCACTTCTTTGATTTTATTGACACTTTAATAAATTCCAACACTTTTACAATAATAACAAGCAAATACTATGACAGCAATATAAACATTAATAATTTCAATTATATTTTAAAGAACCATAGATAAAAAGACTTGTTCTAATTAAAATGTCAACTGGGAAACTTAATATAATTAAAAACCGATCAAAAAATCCAAATTAATTAAAATAGCAGTGGAAAACTTAATTCATTTAAAATATAATAATGAAATCGTACCTAGAATAAAATAGATTTACTCAAAGCTATTATTATCTGTTTTGTCAAATATCGAAAATTCTAATGTACTATAAAAGTCTTATTTTAAGCATTGAAATTGACTGATCATAAAATCACACTTTAATTAATTATCAATTAGCTTTTAATTATTAGTAGTTGCTTATTTTCTAGGAAAAATATATCAGAAGGTAATAAACTGTAGTCAAATTTGATTATTTTTTACAGTATCAAAGTATATTCTAGTGATGAATGATGAATTCAAAAGTTTTACGTTTATCTCTAAAATACAATACTGAGTAATCAAATTCAAAAATATTAATTAGTCAAATTAATTAGTGGATTTATTCATTTCTAGTTTCATACTGATGACAATTTAAAAATATTGACAAAAATATTTATTAAATCTATTACATTTAATTTACAAAACTTTCGTCAAATATGAATATGATTTAAAGTGATAATTATGAATAAAAACAAATTTTGAAAAAAGGCACTAAAACTTAATTAAAATATTACAAATTCAAAAAAGAAAAATAAATCCTTAAATAATTAAAACGCAAAAAAGAATAGAAAATATTAAAAAAGAGCAATCTATTAAAACTTTTTCAGTTTCAAATTAAAAATCCTAAAAATGGACTGATCTAGCCATTTCTAAAAATGCAATAACAGCACATTACAAACATACAGTAACAGCATACATAAGTTTATAGATAATAACGTATATAAAATAACTGCTTGTTTTTGCATAAAAAATATTAAGTCTACTGGTTAACAAAAAATAACTTTATATAATATTACAGCATTTATAAAATGTTTCGCTGTATCTTATTAATATTTATCAAATTATATTCAACTAATTCATATATATAAATATATTCAATTACAATTAATTAGCATTACTAATATTGCTTTACTCTAATAATAGAATAGAAATCTTACTTTACGATCAGCTTTTATAATATTCTGCAAATAGAACTATATAGTCTACATCTAAGTATTTACCTAAGCAGAGCACTCAATATTAAGCATAATATTGCTATACTTCTCAAACAACAATTCTTAGCTATATTTATTTGCGTTTGTGTAAATATTACTGTTGTTGTTCTTCAAATGGTTATATCAAATTTACTACTCTTAAACATTGATAAAACTTTCATAAGTTTAAATTAAATGAGAGAAGGAATGTTCCTTCTACTCAGCTACTGCTTAAATTTACAATCCAGAAGATTTAATTCTTATCAGATGATCTTATTCTAATCAAATCAGCCGTAATTATTGCTTTGATTTTACTGCCTTTTCAATGCTTGTAGTAGTTGATGTTGTTGTTCGTGTTGGCAATGATCGTCTAAGCCCAGTAAAACTTCTATCTGATCTACTTGATCCTTTATTTGATAATCCAAATTCTGCTGATCGCAAATCATCCAATCGTATTCGTACCTAAATTTTTATACCCAACATAAAACTTATAAAAATTATAGTAATTATCCCTCATGTCATATTCAAGCTCTTTTTTAATTTGCTGTCCATATTTAAATTAATATTGTAGTAATCAAGTTTTGAAGTTTTCAAATAGATCATGATTTTAAAAAACATATTATAAGGTATGTATAACAAATTTACAGATAATTAAAAACTTACACTCTATTACAACCTTTCAACTTGGCATCACATTAATAAATGAAAAACCCTAATTGAATAATTACAAACTAATTAATACTGTAATTCGAATAAAACTAGAATTAAAAAAATAAACTTTAATAATTGAAATTAAAAAATATGTTAAGAATACTTATTGTACTTTATTTACAACAAAGCATGCATTTTTTTAATTTAGCCATCCAAAATAAAACATAAATAATTTTTGTACAATAAATATTTTATCATTTATTACAATTGTATGAAATTAGTAATGCAAGTATGCTTTTATTGCTTAAAAAAATAATTAAGTAGTAATAAAAAATTAAAAGTACCGAATGAGTTGAAACAATCCTTTTAATTAAATAATGTATAAATAGCATATTTTTTGCTTGAATGTGAACATTTGCATAATTTCTTCTTAAACTAGCAATTCGCCGCATTTCTCGAGATGGATTATCATCAAATTGTAATAATTTAGAGGGATATTTAGAGAAAACATTCAGTGATGGCCTCAAATTAGGGTACGGTGCAAATTTATGCTTAACGAAAAAATTTTGCACCGATTTTAATCTACAATATATGGGCATTACAGACTTGCAGTCTGAGCGATTAGTAAAATAAGCCCAAGTAAAAAGCAATAAATAAGTAATATGATCAAAAATAAGTAGAAATATGCAAATATTAGCGAATACAATAATTAGCATAAAAATCATAGCTGGTATTGAGATATCATTGTTAATCCAAAGCGAATTCACTTTTGCACGCATTTTTTCAAGCTCATTTATGTGCGGTTGATAAATCTTTTCATTGCAAAGATTTGCAGAACAAATACAAGTCTCATATATGGTACCATTATTTGTTACCACATAATAACATAAATCATAATATGCTTCGGTCCTTCAAGCAATTTCTTTATTATTACTATTCAACTTTCGTTATTATTTATTGATCGAAAATATCATGATTAAAATTGATAAAATTTAATATTTCATGTTATTAGAATGCATGAAAAGTTTTCATTTTAAAAAATAATAAAAAATGTCTTCTTTGAAAGTATTACAAATCGTAGGAAAGTCTTTTTGCCTAAAATATAAGCAGAATAGAATCATCATAAATTATAATTGTTTTGATTTAAAAATTTAATATAATCGATATTAATAAGTCAAATGATATAAATGATTGATGGAGATGTGATCAACTAAATTGAAAATTGAAATTATTTTAGTCAATTAAGCTTTTTATAAGAATTAATAATATTAGCTCATTAATAGGTTCATAAATTAAAAAACCTCAAATAAAAATTTTCAAAATTAATAAAAGCACAATCTCTAATACTAATTTTTAATATTATCACTATTTACTCATTAAATTCAATAATTCTGAGTAAACTGTTTGATACTTTTGGGTTTTACATAAAATTACGCTCCTCAAATTATTTCTCAACTTTTTACATAAGTTATTTATTTCAATTTTAAGCTATTCTTATTCTTTTGCTGTAAATATGTATTATTAAGAATAAAACTTTAACAGTTAAATATATAATAAAATAATTTCCATGACTTAAAAGTAGAGCTTTTCATTATTGCTTTTATATACTATGAAATTAACGATGAAAATAATTACAAACTTAATTGTTTGATTTGAAAAATATTTCAAAAAGATTCTGAATTCTAATTTTGTCTTGTCCTCAAATATATTTGTAATCTTTAAAATAATATTTAAATCTAATAAGTCTTGTAATTTTTATCTTGAAGCGTTCTTCAGAACAGAAAGCAAAATTAAATTATCAATATTTGTTGATTGGCAAGTCAGAATCTATTTATTTGGTATGAATAAGTAAATAATTGTTTATCAAAACTACAATATATACAAAAAAATACAAAATATATCAAATGAATAGATTCTGACCTTCTTGATCAACAACAACAAAAATACAAAATATATTTACAAAATTGATCAAAAAATTAAGGAAGCAAATAAAAATAGCACCAAATTACTAAAAATAAC